TCATTGTTACCATATTCACGATAGTCTCAACATTAGAAAATTTCCATTTTAGAAGCGTATTTGAACAATATAAAATGATGTGTAGCTTTTTTAAAATGCTTCTGATATTGTTTTGTGACATTTTTATTTGTATGATGAATGGCAAAATTCGTAATCCATATTAGAAACTTTTTTCAGTGCCTTCTCAAAAAGAAAGAAATTCTTGGTAAAAGTTGCCGCATCCCCAAACTAGAAGAGCATATTTATTTATTTATTATTTTTTTTAATATACAATGTAACAACTTTTTTTAGTTAAATTGTTTGAGAAGTTGTCTGGAGTTCGAATTAAGTCATTCATAATACAAATAAAAATATCACAAAAAAGTATTAGAAATATTTTAAAAATTACTCACACTATTTATACTATTTCAAAAATGCTTTTGAAGTGAAAATTATCTAAAGTTGAGAGCATTATGAGAACAATATGGTAATAAAATTATTATGTTACTCAAACATTTCTGAAAATATACTGAAACAAAAAATACCGAGTGCATAAATTGAACATAAAAAGAATGTTACTGAAACCAATTTTTTGAAACATTTCATTGGAAACGTATTTTGGGGAGGACATCTTGGGTTTCTAGAACGTTACCAGAATGTTGCATGAATTTTTTAGGAAACGTTTCAAGAAAAATAGAAACATTTCTGAAACATGTCTGAAACTGAAAAATGTTTAGTGGGGTAGTTCAAACGGTTCCTAAGATATTGGCAAAAATCTGAAAAAAAGTTTTGACACATCTCGAAAACGAAAGCCCGGAGAGAAAAATGGAAGAGGAATAAAATGTTCCTCTTTTCAAGAGAAATATACAGTTTTCCGTTGCTACACTTATTTAGGAACACCCTGTATATTATAGTACCATAGAAAATATAGTACTATATTTTCTAGGTGTAGTACATACGTAGCCGAGAGGTAAACATGTACGTTATTCTTAAATTTCTTTCTAATGTTAATCAGTAGAAATATGCGTGGAAAAAGTAGTGACAGGTGGTGACATCATGAGTTTTAATAAACTCGCGATTGTGAGAAATTGCTTAAAATTAGTATGTTCCTGTGTTAGTTAGCACTGTTAGCAGGTCTACCAATATTAAATGTTGACTGACATTCGATTTGACGCAAACGTTTGCTGTTGACTTCTCTCTTCTTCATGGTGTTTGTCTCAGCCATGTTGACCTGTATGAGACTGAATTACCAGCTTTTTGCAAGTACTTGAGGGCACATCCCATTAAAAGGACATTATGCCCAAGTGTGATGTTAAAACCAGATATATACCAGCGACATTTGCTTGGACATTGCTTATTGTAGCCACTTCATTATTTTTTTATTACCCGTGAGTTATTTCTGTATAATGTTTATGTTTCCAAATTTAGATGTACTGTGTAATTGTAGGGCCCAGTATTATATACCAGCACACCCATGGGTACCAGCATATCAGGGTGTTATTACCTTCTTCGTATTGGCAAATTTTACACTTGCTACTTTTATGGATCCAGGAGTTATTCCGAAAGGTAAGTCTTATTATTAATTTCATATACTTTTATTTATCGCTTATTTCTATAGCCCCTCCTGACGAAGACAGGGAAGATGATTTTAGGGCTCCATTGTATAAAAATGTCGATATAAATGGTATTACAGTTCGTATGAAGTGGTGTGTTACTTGCAAATTTTACAGACCGCCAAGATGTTCACATTGTAGTGTTTGTAATCATTGTATAGAGGTAAGATCTTTATCATAATACGATATCTATTAAGTTTTTAAGTGTCGTTAATATTTACAAGTCAATGCAGTCTTGTTTGCTTTAATTTCCATGTAAAGTCAACTACATCAATATATAATTTCAATTTATTTGAATTGGCCTTAGTATGCTCATGCAGATTTATTTTTATCAAATAATATTAATACATTCTACATACAATTTTTACAAGTTCAATTTTATTTTGTTAATGCTACACCAACAATATACTTGAAAATACATGTAGTGATTGTATTTATTGCATTTTCTTCAATTTCTAGCACATTATCAATCAAAGAAGGTCCATTTGCAAACAAATACCCTTTCACAATTTGAAAAATGGATCCGTTATTTATTTGCCTGTAAAATATTAACAAGGTCATTATCAAGTTAGTATTAATATAATTTATAAAAAAGTGGTGAATTTTGAGTACAAAATTTAAAAAGACCGACGTGAGGGCCAATAACATTAATAACTTAAATAATTAAGAGGAAATTAACAGTTGTGCCAAGATCAATTTTTCATTATACGATACATAAAACAATGGGTGAGGTTTTTTTCATCTATTATAATATTATTTATTTTGTTAAACCGATATATACTAAGAAAATTATTCATCCTTGCTAGTATTTAGCAGCATTTTTTGAACTAGATGCAATTTATGTCCTCTAAACACTTGTTTTATGTATCTCTTTATTTGGTTATCTCTAAAAAAGGCGTTACTGATGTCAGAAACATTGTGCAGAATACTACTTGGAATATTTATGTATCTATCCACTATAAAGTCCTAATTTATTTCATATTAAAAGCTTATTTTATGATTGTAATCTTCGTAGCATTGTTTTATATCAAATTGTTATATACAATCATAAATCCAAGTTAATTAATAATTTGAATTCATATAAAAAAATGTATATTAATGAGCACATATTTTTCAATTTAACGATGACAATATACTTTCCTACAATCAAACAGTCTACAATTAATAATATTCTGAATATGACTCGTTATACTAAGTATTAAGTTTCAAAATAAATATGCATATTTGTGGTATCCCTTAGATTTATACCTAATTTAATAAATATGGAGATGTGATTATTTCTGTATTACAGTGTTGTACAAAAGTATTTAAAAATATTTCATAAAGCAGTCATACTTGAATAACTGACAATTAATTAATTTCTACAAGGTGCACTTAAATAAAGGACTACAAATAATCTTGAGGCAAAATATGATAATTAGATCAAATATACTTGCTTTATTTACAAATTACAAATTACTGTTTAAATTTTTGAAAAATATCAAAGGCAAATACGTCGAAAAAAGTTTTAGGTAGACTAATGAAATTTGGTTTGGTGATTTAACTAAATAAAGTTAAAAATTCAGTTAATTTGTGTACACAACTGCATAAATCAAAAATTCTATAAATTCAATAATCGTCTGAAAGAACAAAGATTTCCATTTTATTTATAAAATGATCAGTTTTTGGGTTATTTTTTTTTAGCTTAAAATAAACTTATCGTACACTTCAATAAACAATTGAATACAATACAAATATTATTTGTTTCACAAAAGAAGTAGGGTACAAATACAATTTTAGATACAATGGGATCATTAAAAGTTCGAAAAATTCAGTAGGTACTTGACTTGAAAGTCACTTGTTTTTCAATAGAAATAGCAGAAATTTTTCTTCTTTGAGAAACAATAGGCTTGCATGAAAACTTCTTTTAAAAATGCATACATTTGTAATCTATAACCGACAAGTAATAGGGGTGAAAAAATTAATTCCTTTAACACTTCGAATTAATTATAAACTTTGAACTAAAGTATATTTGTCCTAGTTATCATAATATGGCTTCAAAATTATGTGGCAAAATATTATATTTTTATAAATTTACAAATAAAAAAGAATGGGATGTCTTATTCATTATGTCCAATAATAAGGAAATGGTGGTACCTAGTGTACATTAATCTCAAGAGCCTATGATTTATTTCTAAAGGCCAGTTGTCAGGGCTCCTAACATTGCCAGGCTCTGGCTGCTTCTTTTTTTGGTATCGTGTACTTATTGTAACTAAAAGTAAAAAGAAGATTTAGACATTTTTTGAACGAATCGATAAAAGTTTGTTGATAATTTATCAGACCGTAAATATACTGTCAAAGTGAAATAATCTCTTAATTAAATATATATACTGTAGGTAGTATTGAGATAATAAATAATATAGTAATGCTGATATATTCAGAACCATCACGCAATGATATTTTGAGCTTGTTAATATTTAATTTATCAGTCAGTCTGAAATTTCTAATAAAAATTAGAAGATAAGTAGTAAAATCTAACAGTAATAATGATCATCAGCAGTATACAAAATGCAAGCGAATATTTGAAATATTTTACAACTTAAGACACATATTTATAAGATAGTTTATTAAAATTGTAATAAAAAAAACATAAATACTCTCACAGATGTATACAGGGTATCCCGGTATTTGATACAAAAAAGTCGGGTGCAAATAGATGTGGTCAAAATAATTTCAGTTCTTCATATACATTTTTTTCATACCGTCATAATAAATAATCTCGCTTATTCTACAAAAATGTATATTTTTACTGGAATATAAATGTTCCACATGATTAAATTTAAAAGTTTCACTAGGAGTTCTTGAATTAAAAAATTAAGGAGTTTATATTATTGGGCCTTTATTGCCTTTAACCCTTAACTACTAACGTGTTGGATATATAACATTGTCACTAACCTACGTCTCAAAGACGGCTATAAGTATTATGCATATATTATGCATAAATTTACGAAATTAATTGTGAGGACCTGTTATTTGTGTTCTTCGTACATCTGGCAATTTGTTGCTTTTGTTTAAAATTCAACTAATAACACAAGCTTTTAAAAAATTATAATCTTGAACGGATGTTCGAAATTTTCTGCAATTTAACATTGACATCTATAAATGCCAAAAGTTAGACAAAAACACTAGTATTTTGAAAATGTAGATTTTATTTAGTACTCAGTAATCATAAAAGTAAGTATCTGTGAAAGAAATAAAGCAAAAAGCGCGAAAATAAAAAAGTAACAATTGCTGGTTTACACTAAAGTCATGTCCGAGAGACGGCTACTCTTATTTGATTCCAAATATTTCAAAACTAAACAATTCACGGTCACCATTCTTGGGATACGGGTTCAATGCTAAATGGACATAAATTACATAGACGCCCATTAAACAATATTGGGTGGGAGAGGTTGTAATTCTGTCCCGGCAACTGAATTGCATGAATTAGAACATGCTTTATTCCGTGCAACAAAATTGCATGGATTCTAGTTACTTTTATGAAGATTTGCTTATTACCAACCTAGTTGTTGTTGGCTATTGATTATGGTTGTTGTTAGTAACGCCGTTGAAGCTACTATTAAAGTTATACAGCAATTTACTTTTAAATTTTCATCCATTGCAATGTTTTGCTTGAATAAAAAATAATTGTTTACAAGATACATACAAGAAATTTTACATGTTAAACAATGCACAGTTGGTAACACTACTACAAACTAAACAAATTGCAGCAATTCTGTCCCATTGTGATAATAGGAATGCAGTTTTATCCCCGCAATAAAATCCCCCCAATTTTGTCACTGCAACTAAATTGCATTGTCTGATACAGGCTTGAGAGGTACTATTAGTAGTTAAGGGTTAATTTTAAGGATCTTAAATCGGTTACAACTTTATAAAAGTATTTTGATGTAATTTACAGTTGAAATAACCGTGCCATGTTTATTTTTCAGACTTTTGATCACCATTGTCCATGGGTCAACAACTGTATAGGAAGAAGAAACTATCGCTTCTTCTTTTTCTTCCTCATATCACTAAGTTTACACATGATTAGTATATTTACCTTAAGCCTCATTTATATTCTAAATTATAAGCAAGCCTACACCAATCCAGAACCAATAATAGCGTATCCTTTTTTTGTTTATTCTTTAAATTCACATATACTTATAACTAATATACAAGGTGTTTTGCATAAATACCGACGCAATAAGGTTTGAGTTTTTTTGATACAGGTAATATTTTAAAACTCTCATTCATAAATTTTAATTCTCACTTATCAAAGTACATAATTAGGTTTATTCTATTTTGGGATATTTACGTTACACTACTGTCATAGTACACTAATGTCGGTTATTTGGGAGCACTATATGACAGGAATTTAGTTGTTTTTATTGTTATATAGGTAGTGCATTAATATACAGGGTCGGAAAGTCCCCATGGTTCATCGGCCGTTACGTGAGAGCGATAAAGTAAGTCATATAAATCCATGCGATAGAGAAGGATAGCTATAACGAAGGCGTCTCATAGTCACCGCCCGTTTCTCCCTTCCATAAATAAGATCAACTTCCACTTGTAATTCAGCGACCGGTGGTCATCTTTGTTTTCGTCATTTGCCTTTTCTGTAATAGATGTCACTTTTTCTATACAATTCCGACTTCGTATTTCGATATGTTAATACAATCCGTTAACAGAGAGAAGCCATAGAAAGAGTGATGCCAGATCTACAAATTTTTTTGGAATTGGGAAAATAGGGAATTTTGTTTTATTTCTTGGGATTTTTAAGTCATTTTAAAAAGTATACTTAAATAACAACTAAATGAACTTTAAATGCAGCTGAGCACTANCCCGACCGCAAATGCGGCCGGTGTAGGCGCTTTGTGGGACCTCCTTTTGTCCTGGCTGGGCCCCGCCGGCTAGGGCCCTTTCTTCTGGCGCTCTTCTTGCTTCGCCGGCTCGATATGTATTAACCTAATAGTATACAACTAAACGACTAAATTTTTGAATTTTTTTTGCTTTCCATTCTAAAAAAGTTTCAAATTTTTTAATTATATCTAATTAAATGTTGGACCAAGCGGCCCTTTGGGGCCTTGGCCCATTGGGAGTTTTCCCTTTTTTCCCCTATGGCCAGTCCGGCGCTGCGCACAAGTACTATTGCCAGATCGAAATCCAAACTGATGGTCAGCCAGGAGATCGTTGGTTGCCAAATATTTTTAAATCTTATTCAATATGATACAATAAAATTAAGTCTTTTAAAAAGGTGTACAAGAAATTTAAGTCGCCATAAGTGAAATAAACATCTAAGTAAGTAATCACTAATCATCAGATACATTATCCTTCTTTTCTTTTACGACATCTATTATCTATGTACGACATTCTGCATTCCTCGATTTCTTCGACCTCGACACTCAAGATCATACTTCACAGGATCATTTCTGTAGTAGGTCTTCCCATGCTCTCTACTCAAATGTAGAGTTGTCGGGATGCCCGACTCGGGCACCGTTCGCAACTTCGTTCAGTATGTGTCCGATTGTGTCCGCAAAGATCCGAGATCTGACACGGATCATTAAAAGGAGCAGGTTTACTCGGATCAGTAAATCAGTTATGTTCTACCCATCTCTACGTCCGACAAAAAAGCCGAACGCACCTTTATATTACGAACACGATCTTTAAAAATATTAAAAGTACTTTTTAATATACAGGGTGTTCCTAAATAAGTGTCGCAACGAAACACTGTATATTCCTCTTGTAAAAAGAAACATTCTTTTCCTCTTCCATTTTTCTCTCCGGGCTTTTATTTTCGAGATACACGGTGTCAAAACTTTAATTTTTTTAAAAATTTTTTGCCAATATCTTAGGAACCGTTTAAACTACAGGACTGAGTTTTTGTATACGCATTACCACTATTAATAGCTACTTTCTTGCACCATTCTCGAATTCATTGAACGTGCCAGTGGTGGAGATTTTAAGGTATCGTAAGGATTTCCCCCCCCCCCCTAACTTTTACGCCACTGGAAAAATTGACATTTGACAGCAAATTCTGAAGCGCCAATGAATTTTACACAAAAAGAGTTCTCTTGGTTCATTGCTCTAAAGTCAACCGTTTTCAAGAAAAATTACTTTTTATGAACAAAAGCAAACATTTTGCTAACGTTTCGAAAATCTTTTGTAATTCAAAAAATAGGTAGTAATAATTAACAATTTTAACGAAATTTA